TGTTTCCAGCCGCCGCCGCGAGGCCCGGTCCCAGCTCACCCGTTTGTCCGGCTTTGGGCGGTGCCGGAGCCCGAGCCCGAGCCGGAGGGCGGGCCCGGTGCGCGCGGACCAGGGGTTGCGCAGCGCAGCCAGAGGACGGATCCGGGCGGGTAGTTGTGGCCGCCGAGCGCGCTGGGCGGGGGTGCTGTGTGCGGACGCTGCGCCGGCCCAGTCCCTGCCAGGCGGGACCTGAGCATGGGAGAAGCGTTAGCTGTTGGGGCCGCGGGGAGGCCACATCTCGGTGTGCGGGGCCAGGGGGTTACCGGGTAGGGTGGGCGAAGGAGTTTGGAAAATGACTGTGTTGAAAATAGAAGGCGTTCCTACCGGCCCTGGAAGCTGGGATTGGGAGCAGTCTCCAGGAGGAGTAGTAAATTAAGATTTTTATTTTTCTGCAAATCGCACGGGTGAGGACTCGCTTCTTCTAGCCTTGGTTCTAAAAACACTGCGCTTTGTGTGAACTGCCTGCTGAGATTTGTGTCTCGCCTTCATTCTGAGGAGATGGCTGGGGGGCGAGGGACGGCGGGGTGGAGGGGGTATCCCCACGGCTGGCAGAGTTCGGTGATAAAAAGGGTAGCTGAGGGTCATAAGGGCTGAGCGTTCTGCAGGACAACACGAAACACACGGGATCTGTTTCACTGGGCTCGGAGACTGGTTGCACCACATTTTAGTAATAGCGACCAATAGGTTAGGCCTAATGTGAGGAGGAAAACTTGAAATCAAGACTGTTCAGTCCATTCCTAGCTTTTTGCTGAGGGAGCTGCCGCCTGTCTGTGACACCCAGGTAGTCAACAATCTCTGGGACAACCTTTAGCAGCTGGTTATTGAGTGCTTGCTCTGTGCGGACTTCGTAAACAGGACAGCTGAGACCTCTTCCTCCATAACTAAAGTAAAGCTGCGACAAAAGCGAGGGGCTGGGATAGAGTTTAAGAAATACCTTAAGTGGAGCAGTCAGGGAAAACTTTTTGGAGGAGGTGAAGTTGAAATGGAGGTCAAAAGAACAGGCAGTTCAGCTTAGGGAAAGTAGGGCAGAGACATTCCAGGTAGAATAGTATGTGCCAAGGCCCTGAAAAGGCAAAGCTTTGGATGTTTCAAGGAACTGGAAGTAAGCCCTATGGCTACAGCATGACGAGTCTGCAGAGGAGAGGCCCAGGAGAAAGTGGGGCGGTGGGCAGTTGCTGGGCCACGCAGGGCCTGCGGGCCATGCCGAGGAATGGGGAGGTTTTATTAAGGCATTGAGGGGTTTTACAAAGAAGAATAGCACGTGCTGATTTACTGCTAAGTGGAGGAAACATTTAGTGGGTAGTAAAACCAAAACCATTGCTGTCGAGTTGATTCCAACTCATAGCTACTCTAGAGTGGAACTGCCCGGTAGGGTTTCTAAGGAGCGCCTGGTAGATTCGAACTGCTGACATTTTGGTTAGCAGCTGAAATCTTAACCACTGTGCCACCAGGGTTTCCTAGTGGCTGGTAGGCACAAGTAAAAGCAGGGGCCAATTACACTGGCCTGGCGGCGTGTACTCAAGAGGTAGCCACTAAGATGAGGAGTTCAGAGATGCTATTTTGGACATGGACTTGACACACAGATAGAATGGACATGGAGGAGGAAAAGAGAAACCAAAGATAACCCAGGTTTCTAGCTGGAGCAAGTGGACAGTGCCTCATTTGTTGGATGGGGTAGCCTGAGGTTAAAGGACCACATCTCAGGGAGGAACATCAGGAGTTTTTTACTGGAGAGCAGGCAGATAACCCATATAAGAAATGAGATGGGTGATATCACAACAGACCCAACTGAAATTAAAACAATCATAACAGATTACTATGAAAAATTGTACTCTAACAAATTTGAAAACCTAGAGGAAATGGACAAATTTCTAGAAACTCACTACCTACCTAAATTAACGCAAACAGAGGTAGAACAACTAAATAAACCCATAACAAAAGAAGAGATTGAAAAGGTTATTAAAAAACTCCCAACAAAAAAAAGCCCTGGCCTGGATGGCTTAACTGGAGAATTCTGCCAAACTTTCAGAGAAGAGATAACACCACTTCTACTAAAGGTATTTTGGAGCATAGAAAGCATGGAATACTCCCAAACTCATTCTGTGAAGCCAGCATAACTCTGATACCAAAACCAGGTAAAGACACCACAAAAAAAGAAAATTACAGACCAATATCCCTCATGAACATTGGCGCAAAAATCCTCAACAAAATTCTAGCCAATAGAATTCAGCAACATATCAAAAAAATAATTCACCATGACCAAGTGGGATTTATACCAGGTATGCAGGGATGGTTCAACATTAGAAAAACAATCAATGTAATCCATCACATAAATAAAACAAAAGACAAGAACCACATGAGCTTATCAATCGATGCAGAAAAGGCATTCAACAAAGTCTAACACCCACTCATGATAAAAACTCTCAATAAAATATGTGTAGAAGGGAAATTCCTCAATATAATTAAGGGCATTTATACAAAGCCAACAGCCAACAGCATCCTAAATGGAGAGACCTTGAAAGCATTCCCCTTGAGAATGGGAACCAGACAAGGATGCCCTCTATCACCACTCTTATTCGACATTGTGCTGGAGGTCCTAGCCAGAGCAATTAGGCTAGAAAGAGAAATAAAGGGCTTCCAGATCGGTAGGGAAGAAGTCAAAGTATCTGTATTTGCAGATGATATGACCTTATATGTAGAAAACCCCAAAGAATCCACAAGAAAACTACTGGAACTAGTAGGTTTCAGCAAAGTTTCAGGATACAAGATAAACATACAAAAATCAGTTGGATTTCTTTACACCAACAAAGAGAACCTTGAAGAGGAAATCACCAAATCAATACCATTTACAGTAGCCCCCAAGAAGATAAAATACTTAGGAATAAATCTAACCAGAGATGTAAAAGATCTATGCAGAGAAAACTACAAGACACTACGGCAAGAAACTAAAAGAGACCTGCATAAGTGGAAAAACATACCTTGCTTGTGGATAGGTAGACTCAACATTGTGAAAATGTCAGTTCTACCCAAAGCAATCTACAGATACAATGCAATCCAGATCCAAATTCCAGCACCATTTTTTAATGAGATGGAGAAACAAATCACCAACTTGATATGGAAAGGGAGAGGCCCCGAATAAATAAAGCATTACTCAAGAAGAAGAACAAAGTGAGAGGCCTTACATTACCTGATTTTAGGACCTCTTATACTGCCACGGTAGTCAGAACAGCCTGGTACTGGTACAACAACAGATACATAGACCAATGGAACAGAGATGAGAATCCAGATATAAGCTCATCCAGCTATGAGCAACTAATATTTGACAAAGGCCCACAGTCCATTAATTGGGGGAAAGACAGTCTCTTTAACAAATGGTGCTGGCATAACTTGATATCCATCTGCAAAAAACTGAAACAAGACCCATACCTCACACCATGCCCAAAAACTAACTCAAAATAGATCAAAGACTTAAGCATAAAATCGAAAATGATAAAGATTGTGGAAGAAAAAATAAGGACAATGCTAGGAGCCCTAATACATGGCATAAGCACAATACGAACCCTAAGTAACAATGCACAAGCACCAGATGAGAGACTAGATAAATGGGAGCTCCTAAAAATCAAACACTTATGCTCATCAAAAGACTTCACTAAAAGAGTAAAAAGACAACCTACAGACTGGGAAAAAATTTTGGCTATGACAAATCCGATCAGCATTTAATCTCTAAAATCTACAAGATGTCGCAAAACCTTAACAACAAAAAGACAAATAACCCAATTAAAAAATGTGCAAAGGGTATGAACAGGCACTTCACCAAGGAAGATATTCAGGTGGCTAACAGACACATGAAGAACTGCTCATGATCATTAGCCATTAGAGAAATGCAGATCAAAACTACAATGAGATATCATCTCACCCCAACAAGGCTAGCCTCAATCCACAAAACACAAAATAATAAACGCTGGAGAGGTTGCGGAGAGACTGGAACACTTACCCACTGTTGGTGGGAATGTAAAATGGTACAACCACTTTGGAAATCGATTTGGCGCTTCCTTAAAAAGCTAGAAATAGAATTACCATACGATCCAGCTATCCCGCTCCTTGGAATATATCCTAGAGAAACGAGCCGTCACACGAATAGATAT